TGAACGTGGTTTGTTTGGGTCGCGGGTTGGTCGCGAGTTGGTCACGGGATGTGTCGCGGGCTCTCCACTTGGAGGGAATGCAAAAAAGCCCGCCGCAGGCGCCGAAAATTATGGTTTGTACCTTGAACGTGGTTTGGGTCGAAGGTGGGTCGCGGGTGGGTCGCGTCGGGTGGGTCGCGGGTGGGTCGCGGGTGGGTCGCGGGTGGGTCGCGGGTGGGCCGCGGGGTGGGCCGCGGGGGGGTCGCGGGGTGGGTCGCGGGTCGCGGGTGGGTCGCGGGGTGGGTCGCGGGGTGGGTCGCGGGGTGGGTCGCGGGGTGGGTCGCGGGTGGGTCGCGGGTGGGTCGCGGGGTGGGTCGCGGGGTGGGTCGCGGGTGGGTCGCGGGGCGGGTTGCGGGTGGGACGACGACAACAAACAACAACAACAACAAACAACAACAACAACAACAACAACAACAAGAATCCGCACCGCGGAATTCCACATCAGCCACGCACCCAGGGACAATGAATGACCGTTCGGCCCCCTCACTCTGATTAGTCTTCTTATTCTGCTTATTAGAAGCATTATTATTCGTCTTAGTGTTAGTATTGTGTTATTCTTTGTTTGTTGTGTTTGTTTCTTCTTCTTCTTCTTTTTCTTCTTCTTCTTCTTCTTCTTCTTCTAGGGGGGGCAGGCGCGAGGTGCCCGCCGCAGGCTGCCCGCGCGCGCTTTGGCCCTCTCTGGGAGGGGCACTCCTGGGCCGACCGACCTTTTGAGGGCCCGTCGGCCCCCCGCGCCTGCTTTTGGCTCGCCTCCTCGGCGGGCCCGTCCGCGCACGGTTCTCCCGCATCGAGAGACGCACAGAAGCAGCCACGCCCAGAGGGGGGGCAGGAGGGGGGGAGGGCTTCTCAGAAGCACCCCTGCTTAGGAGGCGCGGGCCTTGCCTGCAGACGCAAGGCCGGTGCCTTCTGAGAAGCAGCCTCCTTCTGAGAAGCCCTCCCCCCTTCCCTTCACCCCCTTGTGCGCGCCGGCCAAGAAAAAGCAGGGTCGTCTTCGCCGACATCGGCGCGTAAGCTGTTGGCGTGACTTCGCGCGTAGGCGCCCTGGTCTCCCATGTGGCGCGCCGCGCCAGCGGCCCGCGCAAGCCGCCGCGTGAGGCCGCTGCGCCATCTCGCGCAGGACCCGTTTCCGATCGTCGCTCGGATTTCGTTTCTCGCTAGAGGGTTCTCATGGAGCCAGCGAGGGACCCCAAGAGCGTCCCTCGACTAGACGTAAGAGTGACCTTTCGCCGGAGTGACCTTTGGTGCGGGCACGGATGGGTCCCCTGATGGCGGAAAACGAAGCAGGAGCAACGGCTTGCGCGCCTAGGTTTGGTCCCCACGCGGCCCCCGAGAAGCCGCGCACCAAAGGTCACTCTTGCCCAGGGCCACTCTTGCGTGTAGCCGAGCCCCACGGCGGGGAGCCCCGGACCGCCCAGTCTGGCCAGCCGCCTCGCCCAAGGCTGGAGAGTCCTGCTCTCGCCCCCGTGCCGGCCACCTTCTTGGTCCGGGCGGCTCCCGCGCAACCAGTCGCGAAGGTGCACACGGCCGTGCTGAAAGTTGACCTCATCCGGCATGACCCCGCTTAGTTGCGCTCAGTCCCGCTCAATCCGGCTTCCTCCGCCTCAGTCCTGGGCTTGCCCTGGCTTCATCCGGCTCAGTCCCGGGCTGGACCCAGCTGCTTCCGATTGGGGTTTGCTAAAGGTGCCCCTGGTCCAAGGTGCCCCCAGCTTTTCGTTCAATCTTGGAGCTCCTGGGGCCCTTCTGGGCCTCGCGAGGGGTGCTCTGGAGGCCGCGGGGGCCTCCTTGGAAATCCTGGGGGCACCTTGGGCCAGGGGCACTTCTAGCAGTACCCCGCTCGTTCCTTGGGACACCTCCCAGGACTCCTGACCTGTGGGCCAACCTTCACCACAACTACCAGCGGTAGCACGGGGACGGGGAGGTCCTCTCCTCCTCCTGTTCCTCCTCCTCCTCCTCCTCCTCCTCCTGTTCCTCCTCCTCCTCCGGTTCCTCCTCCTGTTCCTCCTGCGCCTCCTCCTCTGGTTCCTCCTCCTCCTGTTCCTCCTGTTCCTCCTCTTCCTCCTCCTCCTCCTCTTCTGCCTCCTCCTCTTCTGCCTCCTCCTCCTCCTCCTCCTCCGCCTCCTCCTCCTCCTCCTCCCTCCTCCTCCTCCTTCTCCTCCTCCTCCTCCTCCTCCTCCTCCTCCTCCTCCTCCTCCTCCTCCTCCTCCTCCTCCTCCTCCTCCTCCTCCCCCTTCCCCTCCCACCTGTGGCAGTGGAGGAGGAGGAGGAGGCGGAGGCGGAGGAGGAGGAATGACCTGTGCAGACACGGCGGCCTCGGATCCCTGGCTCCTCCGCGGGCGGCACGGCGCGTGCCGCGCGCCTCGGCCTCGGCCGCCCCCCGCGGAGGCCCCGCGCGGCGACGACCCCGAGGCGGGGGAGCCCGGCGACGAGCGCGGGGGTGGTCTGCCGGCGCTCGAGCGCTCAGGCGCCCGCCCCACCCAGCGGGAGTTTCTCTTTCTTCGTCTAATGATCCTTATTGTTAGTACCATTATTGTTCGCATGATTATTGCTATTCTTATTCGTAGTATCAGTTGTATCTTCTTGATAACCAGTACTCGTATCTAGAATACTAGTCGCATCATTGTTATTCGTAGTATTAGTTTCACCATTCTTATTGTTAGCATTGCCACCATGATGATTTGTACTATTATTATGTAAGGCATTATTGGTTGCAGTATTATCATTACTGATATGGTCATTGGTAATCCCATCATTGTTATTTTCATTCGTACTTATTTATCATTATTATTCGTATTAATCCACTACTACTATCCTTGTAATCATGATTCGTATCACATAATATTGCTACTATTCCAATACGACTATTATTCATGCAATCATTCGTACTACTATTAACAGTTCAAGTCTATATGATTACCAGCATTCTGGATCAGATTTCATATAAGCTTAACTTAGGCAAATCTACATGCAGGGCGTTCGCCCCTCCCTCGCACCTCTTCAGAGGAAAGCTAATGTGCAAGTGCCTTTCTCAACTTGCATGATTTCCGCACGCGCAAGTCGTTTGCGGCTTCAGGTTCAGGCCCCCTCCGTCCATGCAAGTAGTTAAACTTGCCAGGGTTTCAAAAGAAAACGCAGGATCCATGGAGGAGAAATCACGGCAGAACGCGGCCCAAAACCTCCGCCGTGATTTTCCACCACGCCTCGGGGGCGTCCGATCCCTTGGACCTTCGATCCTCCGCGCTTATTGAGAAGAAGAACGAAGGGCATACAGAGAAACTTTCTACGCTCCGCGCGGATTTCTTGGGTCCGCACTGGGCTCTGGCGCCGGTCCTGGCGCGCTCCGCGCGCCAGGGAGGGGGTCTGCCGGCGTTCGAGCGCTCAGGCGCCCGCCCCGCCCTCAGAGGAGGAAAAGGTACCCATACTGCTACCCTTCGCACGTTTCCCCCTTTCTGGGTCACCTGGGAGGCCTTCGTCGCCACCGCTGGATTCGCGTCGAAATCCCGGTCGGAACGCAAGCCGTAGCTGGACAGGGGAAGGGGAACTATTCCTCAGAGCTGCGAGATGGAGGCGCAGGGCAGCGAGTCTGTATCTCACCACCCACCAAACCACCCCAACCCAACCCGAAGGCCCGAATTTGCCCTCCATTTCCAGTGGGGGGGGTCGGGGAACGTCGAGAAAACACACATGAAGCCCGTACCCCTCCCAACCCGAAATTCGGGTCTTCGGGTTGGGTTGGGGTGGTTTGGTAGGTAGTCAGTATCGCGCCAAGATTAGAGCCAAGCGGCATCATGACTGGGCGGCCATGGGAATGACGCCTCATGACATACAACGAACCAGAGCAGAGGCGGTCGACGTGGCGGGCATCTCAGCAGGACGCAGATCCACGTCCACAGCACTGCTGGTCACCCGCGGCTCAAAGGAGCCATGGACCGCTTGCATCATCAGACAGGTACGAGAGCGGGCGAGAATTTGGCACGCCAGTGGAGATCTCCACGGCCACCTACAGAGTGGAGGGTTTATACGAAAGGCTTAGGCGACCCGTCCTCCTCCTCCTCCTCCTCATCCTCCTCCTCGTCCTCCTCCTCCTCCTCCTCCCTCCTCCTCCTCCCTCCTCCTCGTCCTCCTCCTCCTCCTCCTCCTCCTCCCTCCTCCTCCTCCTCCCTCCTCGTCCTCCTCCTCCTCCTCCTCCTCCTCCTCCTCCCTCCTCCTCGTCCTCCTCCTCCTCCTCGCCCTCCTCCTCCTCCTCGTCCTCCTCCTCCTCCTCCTCCTTCTCCTCGGGTCGCCTACGGCCCCGGGGGAAACCGTCCGTCTACGGGGCGGACGGCAAGTGGCGGCGATGCACCTCGGCAGCGTCGCGCGCCGAGGCCGATGGCAGGCCGCTGCAGGGCCCACGGCAGCCCTGCAGCTTGGCCTCGAGCATCCTGGGATGGGCGGGCCTCCTCCTCCTCTCCTCCTCCTCCTCCTCCTCCTCCTCCTCCTCCTCCTCCTCCTCCCTCCCTCCTCCTCCCTCCCCTCCTCCTCCTCCTCCCTCCTCCTCCTCCTTCTCCTCCTCCTCCTCCTCCTCCTCCTCCTCCTCCTCCTCCTCTCTTTTCCTGTTCCTCTCTCCTCCTCCTCCTCCACCTCCTTCTCCTCCTCTCTTCTCTCCTCCCTCCTCCTCCCCTCCTCCTCCCTCCTCCCCTCCTCCTCCCTCCTCCTCCTCCTCCTCCTCCTCCTCCTCCTGCTCCTCCTCCCTCCGCCTCGCCTCCTCCTCCTCCTCCTCCTCTCCTCCTCCTCCTCCTCCTCTCCTCCTCCCTCCTCCACCTCCTTCCCTCCTCCTCCTGCTCCTCCTCCTCCTCCTCCTCCTCCTCCTCCTCCTCCTCCTCCTCCTCCTCCTCCTCCTCCTCCTCCCCCCCTCCTCCTGGACCGACCCCTGAGGAGGCACCTGGAAGATCGGCGGCTGCTAGCAGGCCGACTTGACGGAGGTCGAGGAAAGGATCCAAGGGGCGGTTGCAGCCAGCGGCGCCAAGCCAGCCGAAACCCCGAAGGCCAAGGCCCCCAGCACGGAGGCGACGTCCTGCTATTCCAGGCCGGCGCGAAACAGTTCAGGAACATGGAGCGATGCGGAAGAGCAGGCGCTCTCGAGGCCGCAGCCTGTGCAGCCATATTGATATGCCACGCAGCAGCATGTAAATATCCAACCGAAGGGCACACGGCGCCGCATGGACGTTGGTGACACGCCTTTCCGCCGCATGTGCGATGGCCCTGCCACGCAAGACACAGGGCGCCACTGGATCGAGAAGGCGGCCGACCCAGGAGCCCTGCAGGAGATGGATGGCGCTCTGGACCGTGGGCAGTCTACCAGAGAGCATGTGCGCAGTCGATCCTCCGCCAGCATGGGGAAGCTTAACTGGTGCATTCTGGACGGTGGGAGACGCCAGCTCGCGGCGCTTACATTCACATATGGGTCGGTTACAAAATTCGGCAAGCGCAATTCGCGTGCAGGATGGGGGTGTCGCGATACTTGTTCAAGCTACTGGCCCCTGTATCACCAACACGGTGGAACAGCGTCAGGTCTCTTGATTTCTTCTTAGGATCCACTACGATCAACCTGGACAGCATCACGGTACACGCATGCCGTCTCTCCGACCAAACAATGGTACATGTGATGGTAGACATGAGCGCCGTGCAACCAGCAAAGGGCGTCGCCTAGAAGCGAGCTGCGCGGTTCGCCCTACCACAGATCTCAACCAGACTGGCACCCAACACAACGACCACTACCACCACTACCACTACCACGACCACTACGGCTACCCCACCTCAGACCCCTGCCCCGGCTCCCACCCACCCACCCACTCCTGCTCCCACTCCAGCAGGGACGTTTGTCTATGATGACGGCGAGCGAGGAGAGGGAGAGGGAGGAGCTGCTGAGGTATGGCAGAGGGAGGCGAAGGAGGACGTGAAAGCAAGAGCGAATACACCGAGCGTTTGGCCGCACAGTGGCGCTCACATCCAGAGGTGTGCCGGATCAATTTGTGTCGTTGCAGATCGTTGGGTGTGGTGGTGCATGCGTGCAGAATCATGCTTGCGTTCTGAACCAGATTCGCTCGTCCGTGATGGCGACGTTGGAAAATCGGTTTTGCATACGCACCGTGGTCACGGAAATAATCGGAATGATTTGTATCCCAAACACGAAAGACAGCTCCGGCAGCTCCTCCGACATCTAGGAGAGATGCTAGGCAGGAGGGGAAGGCTCGGGTATAGCCAGGTCCCCAGGTAAGGGGACCCGGTTAGTAGTAGGGCCCCGGAGCCCCCCAATTGGCCAGAATCACTAAACCAGGTCTGCCGTAGTGGGTGTTTTTTCGGGTGACGGCAGTTCCGGTTAGTGGAACGGGGCGGGGGGGGCGTCCCCCAGTACAAATCACTAAACCAGGTCCCACCAAACCCAGTTCTGCCATCGCCCGAAAGGCATGCAGCCATGCAGCCAAATTTCTTGCACTGCACAGTGGCCCCGACGGGCTCGCAAGCTGTGGAGAGTAATGGGCAATTTGGCCCCCAACCCTACTCCAACCCTTACTTCCAACCCCAACCTGGCTCCAACGGGCAGCGAGGGAGGAGACGGAGGAGGAGGAAGTGGAGTGGGAGGAGGAGGAACAACGGCGGCGGTTACGAAGGCGAGCGTGGCTGCGGCGAACAGTATCAGCAGGGAGGGTGGCAGGTCCCTTTCCAACCTCCACCCTCCAAGCCGGCTCCCACGGGAGACGGGCTCCGACGCGCAGCGAGGTGGGAGGAGGAGACGGCGGTGGAACAGCGGCGGCGGCTACGATGACGATGGCGGCTGCGGCGAGCAGTAACAACGACCCAACTGCGGCAGCGGCGGGGCAACTGGGGATTACCACCACGACCGCGCCTTCCAGCTACACCAACCCGTGGGAACCGGAAGGGTCCATCAGGGAGGTGGAACAAGCGCTATCTGCATGCCTGGATGGATCCAGAAAGGAACGGCTCAGAGTCTGGAGGCTGAAACTCCTCCAGGCAGACGGGTTCGGCAAGACCACAGCGGCTTGGATACGGAACCAAGTATCGTCTTATTCCAACACTGCGGTGCGGGACCCTACACAGAAGGTCCAGCAGGGAACGACACACGCTGCCGCGAATTACTTTGACCAGGATGCTGTCGATCGCGTCAGGGACGATTACGACCAACATTTTACGCCTGCGGTCTCGGGAACAATGCGCAGGGTTATCTTGATTCGTACCAGCAGTTTATGGGTTGTGCCCGGGATGATATTCAGCAGGCTCAGGACCTTCAGCACCACCATGCTCGACATGTTTTCGCTACGGCTGGACCCTTGGACCCATGGAGAGCACCTGAGGCAACAGAGTTCCGACGAATGTTCCATGGAGGGAAACCATAATCCCGACCAGTTGTGCCCAGAAGAGCTGATGCTTCTACCAGACGACGCCCTTGTGGAGCTGATTCACATT